AATCCACATTTAAGTATGTGATGTATCATATAAGCAACTTTTGAATGAGCTACAAATGATGTGTGTGTGTGTGGGGGGGGGTAGGGTAGGAGTAATTACAAAAGTAAAATGTAATGATCTAAAAGCACACTACACAAAGAATTGGAAGACTTTTTATGTATTCAGTTGGAGGGAATTTTTCTTTTCTTTACTTTTTATACATTGCCTGATCATCCAAGAAATGATGAGACAAAAATTGAGCAGCTAGCTTCTACTCCTTAATTTGAGATTAGCTTCTAAAAATAGTTCTTTTAATAATCTTCTCTTGAATATGTTCTGACACAAGAATGTGAAAATAAAATATTTTAATCTTTATTTTGAAGTATTACAGCTGTCCCCTCTACTTTCTCCCATTGCCCTCCTCCATCCAGTTCCCGCCCCACCCCAGTCCTTTACTGCACTATTGTTGTGACCATGGGCAATGCATATATTCATATAAGTTTTTGGTTTATCTCTTCCCACCCCCTTTCCATCTGAGATCTTTCAGTCTGTTCTATGCTTTCATATCTATTGTAATATTTTGTTTGTCAGTTTATTTTATTCATTAGATTCCACATATAAGTGAAATCATATGATATTTGTCTTTCTTTGACTGGCTTATTTCGCTTAGCATAATACTCTCCAGGTTCTTCCATGCTATCTCAAAAGATAAGAGATCTTTCTTTTTAATAGCTACATAGTATTCCATTGTGTGTAGGTACCATGACTTTTTTATCCACTCATGTACTGATAGGCACTTAGGCTGTTTCCAGATCTTAGCTACTGTAAATAACGCTGCTATGAACATAGGGGTGCATATATATTCTTTCTGATTGGTGTTTCAGGATTCTGAGGGTATATTCCCGGAAATGGGATCCCTGGGTAAAAGGCAGTTCCATTTTTAATTTTTTAGATAACTCCATACTGCTTTCCATAGTGGCCGCACCAGTTTACATTCCCATCAACAGTACACTAGAAGCATTCCCTTTTCTCTACATCCTCACCAGCACTTACTGTTTGTTGATCAATTAAATGTTCTTCCATTTCAAGTTTAATTTCTAGATTTCATCTTGTGCATACTCACATATCAATAGAAGTCTTTAAAAGATTAACTTAAAAACTAAACACTTTAACCTTTCCCTCAAGTAAAGATAAAAATAAGTCAAAAGAAATTTAAAATGAAAAAGAACAAACATAAATGTATTATGAGTTAAGATGGAAACCTACATGGATATCAACCAGCAACTTCTGATCAATTGTAGAATAAGGAGGTGATGACTGTGACCTTCTCCTAGTCACTGGACTCTCTTCCTTGGAAGATTCTGTGGAATGTCAAAAAGGCATTAGTAACAGTGGTGATCACAGCAATTGCCTTCATTTTTATAGTGTAACTGTTCTATCTCTTAGTATTTTTCAAGTAACTTTTCATTCAGGAAATATCACTTGATAAATTCTCATGGGGCTAGGATTCTTTGTTCTATTTTAAGTGACAGAGACAGGCTCAAGGTTTGTACTGCCTGTAGAACTACATGGCTATTCTTTATTTCCTGTTTATTTAATTTATTGGGGTGACACTGGTTAACAAAATTATACAGATACATGTCTATTCTGTTATCAATATTAAGGCTACACTTGCTAAGCATTTCTATCTGTGTAAGAAGGTGCACAGTAAGACTGGTAGACAGATAGTTCTATTAAGAGAAAGAATATATTAAAAACAGGAAGAGCTATGTGGTATCACTGGCCTCCCAGAATAACCAGTACAAAATGAGCCCAACAGCATATTAGAAAATGATAGATTAGACCAGGGGTCCTCAAACTTTTTAAACAGGGGGCCAGTTCACTGTCCCTCAGACCGTTGGAGGGCCGGACTATAGTTTAAAAAAAAAACTATGAACAAATTCCTATGCACACTGCACATATCTTATTTTGAAGTAAAAAAACAAAACGGGAACAAATACAATATTTGTATTGGCATGTGGCCCGCGGGCCGTATTTTGAGGACCCCTGGATTAGACCAAACTCTCAAGAAGAGAGTTGACTGCAATCATTATCATGCCATTTCCACTAAAGGATATAGCCTTAAGTATTTCTATATAGGTGAGAAGTGAACAACTGAAAAGAGACAAAACTTAGCCCTTTTTATAAAGCTGGGAACTTTTCTATAGTGGTGCTGTGCAGTAGAACTTTCTTTAGCAATAGTAATTTTCTGTATCTGTACTGTCCTATACAGTAGCCACTAGACATACATGGCTATTGAGCATTTGAAATATGCACAGTGTGCCTATGGGGTTGACTTTTTAATATAATTTTCTTTTCATTTAGGTTTTAATTTTAACAGCCACATGTAGTTAGTTGCTATCACAATGCACAGCTCAAACTTGTTGTGTAAATATTTCTATTTAAAATTCAAATTTATCTGGATTAGAAGTCTGGATTTTTGAGATGAAGATTTGTGGTATAGTAATTCACACCTGTGATTTAAATCCAGTGGTAGTATGGGTGAGTGAACTTTGAAAAAGCTTCACTAAGGGGACACTCGGGTCCCTGTTTATTGTTTTTTGTGCACTTGATTTTAAAGATAAATAGTACTATCCCACTTTTATTTTCAGCATTGGTATATATAGCCAAAGTATTGGTACTGCAACTCCAGAAAACATGTATTTGCATACACTGGTAACTTTTGAGAATATTATGCTGAACACACCCTACAATTTGTGTCTCCATCTTCTGACACTGTTGTATATTTGCAGTTTCCTATCTTTCTGCAGGAAACCATTTTCTCTCAAGTCTCTTGGTGTGTTATTAGGCTAAGTAGGAATATTAGGCAAGTGTTTGAGATTTTGAGGCAAATTTATAGTATGTGTTCTCCTTTCCTACATGTTGAAGTATGCTATCCCATGGGAACTTAAAATGTTCTATGTAGCACACACAATAAAATAATAGAATTTTAGAGCTGAAAAGAACTTTAGCTATTATCTACACAGTTGCCACCCATTCCCTTCTCCTGCTAATCACGGTTCAGACTGCTTTGGGGCTTAATGCAAGATTTCCTTATTTCAAAAAAGGTGGTAGGGATAAACACATGCTCACAACTACTTCATCTAATATTTCCATATACTAAAGACAACCTATCAAATTAAGCTTATTGGAGTGGCCTCTCCCAAGTAACTTTCCCATATATTTCACATATATTATAGAAACTAAAGTAGACACACTCCGTCTCCCTAGACACATCCATAGCTACTATTCAACTGAAAGAAGAAACTTTTGAAAAATCAATTTTCTTTTCTAATATGTCACCATCAAACAACCAATTGCCAAATCCAATGGCCTCCTGGTCTTAATCCTATTTGGACTCCCTGACACTTTCAATTAATTTCTTGTTTAAATAATTTCTTGACTTCTGCACTATAAATTGTGAATCATTAGCTGTGTTTTTACAGTTTGTGCTTTGAATCACCTGATGTTGCTGGGCAATTTTGAGGATTTTGCAAACTTCTTTGTCTGGTGTCAATGGGCTTCTGAACTTGTTCCAAAAGAGACCACTGAGGAACACTAATGAAAAGACAGAAAAGTATGTTTTATTTCCTAATATGTACAATGCAATGTTAGGGCCAACAAAAAGTTTTGTTTAAGTATATGGGCATATACCAAACTGGGAAGAAGTAGACCTTATATTTTCCAATTTCCACTTTCCCCCAAACATGCTATTTTATCTTTAACAAAGAAACAATTTCCAAAATATAAAAAAAATGTTCCCATATAGTCATGTGTTTCTTGCACATATCATATTTACTTCTAAAAATTCCTATAAAATTTCTTTAAGCAAGTATTCAGACATTAATAAAGTAATACATTAATAAATATAAATTTATAGTGTACAGTATGTGAGGATTTCAACATGATAAAATGGCTAATATATGCATGTCTTAATGTAAAATATTCCACTATTATCATCCTGATTTAAAATGCTTTAAATCCACGATTTTTAATGTCCACTTCCCATTATAGATAGATAGATAGATGGATGGACACAGATAGAACACTTTAATATTAACTATTCAAATTCAGAGTATTTAGAAAGATTTTTGGAACCAGTGCTGCTAAATTTTATAGTTGCTTTGGAATTTCTGCATAGGAAAGACTATAGTTATTAATTTAAGATTGGGACAGACAAGTTTTTCTATAAACCAAACTTTCAGGAAAGACTGAAGTTTCATTTAAATCAATTTTAGAAATTTAAGCATACTTAAAGTTAATACATTTGTTATCCATAATTTCAAAAATTATTTTGTCACATGGTCAACCAATTCCAGTTAACAGAAATAAC